TTCCAAAGAAAACAAACCTGATGGAGACTGCACAAACAGAAAACACTGGCCCTGCATTTGGTAAATGGTATCTGCTTCATGATTCCTTCTACAAACTATTAAAGTTCCAACAGTGTGTGCACCCAGAGCTCCATCATCTTGCTTTATTTTGATCCCCATAATACTGAGCAAGTGCTCCATTGCTGAGCCACCCTCCGGGCCTTGAAGCACCATGCTCCCCACTGGAACACAGCTCTGTTGGTTCCAATAGTTCGCTGCATGTTCAGAAAGAGCTGAAGGTCTAGTTGATGACCCAGTGACAACTCAGTGAGTGGCATCACGTTCAGGGCTGTGTGCTCCATGCTGAATGTGAAAGACAGGTGCCTTCATTTATTCTAGTAAGGAGACAGATAAATAACAAAACTGTGAGTCATTGTGCACCATAGTTCTGGTTAAGTGCTTTGGGGAAGATGAGTAGGTGCTTTAATGGGGAAGGCCTGGGCTTGAGGCAGTAGCTGGACAGGGTTTTCAGGCTGGGCCTTGCATAGAGCTTCAGCCTGAGGGGAAAGAAGAGCCTATCAGACAAAAGTGTGGGGGAAAGCCTTTAGACAGAGAGACCAGTGAGGACAAAGGCCTGGGACAGAAGCAAATAGGCTGGAATAAGACTTAGAAAGGTTGTGAGGGCTCCAAAGCTACAAGGAGAGAAGAGGAGCAGGGTGGGAGCGGGAGGCAAAGCTAGGGCACCTTGGAGTGAGAGAATCAAATACTGCAGGGCTGGAGGAGGTGGGGTTTTTTTTTTTTTTTTTCCTGCTGGGGGTTTTAAGATTGTCTGTGCCCTTAAGTTTTGAGGAAGGTCACTATCCAAGCGGCATCCCCAGAAGTTAGTTATTCGGATGGAGCTCTGTCAGTTTTCTGCTGCTGTCCAACAGGGGCCTGAGGTATCATCCTGTGGTGTGACAGCTTTGTCACTCCCAGTGTTAAAGAACTCAGCCTGTGGTTGGTTGGCAGTTAATGGCTTTGGCCTATGGGCAGGCAGTAAATCGTGGCTGGAACATGAGATGGCCAGATTAGCTCATGTCAGATAGAGAAAGAGACTAGGGTCCCATAAAGAGTACAACTACAGCAACCTACAGCCCCTCTGTAGGCCACATCTCTTAACGTCTCCACGCATCTCAGTATTGCCATGCTGAGATGAAGCCTTTAACACATGGCCTTTGGGGCACACTCCAGATTCAAGCAATAGCAGGGATGTCCTGCAAAATGATTGGTTCAACAAGTACTCTGCAAAAGTGTCGAGGGAAGACACAAGGAAGCCTGACAGCCGAAGCAGCAGGTAACTCAGGGATGGGTCCCAGATTAGATACATGTTAGTGTCACAAATAGGATCAAGTTCTGCATATTAGGCAACACGGTATTGGTCAGTTTACAGAAGTTGTATAGCCAAGTTTCCTTAGTTTTAAGAAACACATAAGGAGCATTGTGTACTATACACTCCCAAACATTTCAGAGAAAATATCATGCATAAGCATAGGTCTACATTCTTAAGAATTTTATTTTTATTTGTTTATTTTTGTTTTTTCGAGACAGGATTTCTCTATAGTTTTTTTTTAAGTCTGTCCTGGAACTAGCTCTTGTAGATCAGGCTGGCCTTGAATTCAGAGATCTTCCTGCCTCTGCCTCCTGAGTGCTGGAATTAAAGGCGTGCACCACCACTGCCTGGCAAGAATTTTATTTATGTATGTATTTGTATTACTCATGTATATGTATAGCATTGCATTGGGGTCTTTACAATGGTTTAGTGGGTAAAATTGTCATACCTGACTCCCTGAGTTCGATTCTCAGAACCTACAAGATGGAAGGAGAGAACCAATTCTAATATGTTGTCCTCTGAACCACACACACATAGAAACAGATGCTTAAACAATGCATTAGATGTGGTTCTCTAAAGGAAAAGAACCAATAGAATGTGTATGTATGTTTTCAAATGGTTTACACAGTATGTGTTGGGCAGTTCAACAATGGCCACCCACATGCTGGAGAGCCTGAGAAACCAGGAGCTGCTCAGTCTATGAGGCTGAAAGCCTTAAGAATCCCAACGTTCTGCCAGGCGGTGGTGGCGTATGCCTTTAATCCTAGCACTCAGGAGGCAGAGGCAGGCAGATCTCTGTGAGTTCGAGGCCAGCTTGGTCTACAAGAGCTAGTGCCAGGACAGGCTCTAAAGCTACAGAGAAACCCTGTCTCAAAAAACAAACAAACAAACAAACAAAAAAATCCCAACGTTCTGTGCTGGAAGCTGAAGAAGATGGGTTTGATGTCAGCTGAGTATTAACGACAGCAGCAAAAATGACATAAATACACTTGGAATCAAGAGGAAGGGGAAGCAGTACTCCTTTTTCCTAGGACTCTGTATCTGGGATGCTCAGGGAAGATGTTGTCTACCCTGGTGTCTTCCCATCTCAGTAAATGCTTCCTGGAAATGCCCCGAGGACTCAGGCGTGTCTCTTAGTTAATTCCAGATTGAACCAAATTAACTACAGATATTGACCATCCCAAATATACAGATAAATCCTATGAGGAAGGAAGTGGAGGACAGGCACGATGGGGTAAGCATGCTAGCAACTTCTCTTATCACCACGACCAAAATCCTGGAAAGAATCAAGTATGGAGGAAGGATTTACCCTGGCTCACGGGAATACAGTCCATCCCGGCAGGATGGCATAGCATTGGATCTCACTCTACGTTAGTGGGACTTGCAGCTTCACACTGTAACTGACCAGATAGATACTACAGGATATAATCTTTAATGTTGACACCCCTCCCCCAGCCATCAACTAGGCCACAAGTCTAAAACAGCACCATTGGTGGGTGAATGAGGTGTCCAATACACAAGCCTACAGAGGATATCTCAAGTTCAAATGATAATATAACACTTGGGGATTCAGAAGAAAATACAATGAGCAATTTTCTCATTGCTATGGCAGACCCTTGACAAAAAGCAGCTTTAGGAAAAGGAGTTCATTTTGGCTCAGAGTTCCGCGGTACAATCCACTGTATCTGGGGAAGGTAGAAGGGATGCTAACAGGAGCGTGATGCAGCTGGTTAGTCCGCATCCACAGTCAGGAGGCAGAGAGAGATGGATGCTGGTGCTCAGCTCACTTTCTTTTTATTCAGTTGAGGGTACAGCCTATGTTCAGTTAAACCTCTCTGTAAGTACAAGAGACACCCCCAGAGGTTTGTCAGATAGGCAACCCTAAGTCCTGTAGACCATCACGTGCTACAATCCTTTGTACAAACACAGCTTTTCCCCAAGGCCTTACAAATTACCACGACTATAGTTGCACCCCACCCCACCCCCAGTTCTCACACTGTTAAACAACTACCAAGTTTTAAAGTGCAGGCTAAGTCTGGGTTTGCAGTTCACATTGGAAGGCCGAGACAGGTGTCTCTGGAAACCAGGGAGCAGTGGGCAGGCAGGGAAGCATCCGCTATATGCGCTCAGGTGTATTTTCTTGCTTTCTCTGAGAAGGTTCTTTAAATTCTAAGTTTGGGTCAGGTAGAAACACAACCCAGCCCGCTTGATGATGCACAATTCAGGAGACTGGATGCTAGGAAACTTCGCGGTGAGTTCTCCTGGGGGGGGGGGGTCACTGGTGATCTCACTACCCTGCACACGCTGCTGCTTTTATCAACTTTAAAGCAAGAACTGCAACTAGGTAGGTTGATAGTTTCTTCCTCAACTCTCAATTTGATCACATTCCTTTCTTCCTTTTTTTTGGGGGGGGGTTGAGACAGGGGTTCTCTGTGCCTTGGCTGTCCTAGAACTCGCTGTGTAGACCAAGCCTGCCTCTGCCTCCAGATTAAAGGCGTGAGCCACCACTGCCCTGTTCATCACATCCTTTTGTACCTTCTATTGAAACAGCTAATGACATAGCCCCGTGTAGCCAATTTAAGATTCACATACCCAAGATTGCTAAATACAAAATAGCAATCTTGTATTTATATATGTAACTAACATCCCATTACATACACGTTAAGCTTATGTAATTTTTGTATTTTTTTTCTTTTTTGTACTACACACAACCACTTTCCCTTCTTCTATCCCAAACATTATCCTTCAGGGTTCTACCTAACCATAATGAAACGGGTGAGATCTACATATTTTACCCTTTCACCTGCATTTTCCTAAGGCCTGTACTGGCTCCTTTTAAACTGCAAAGTACAAAATAACTGCAGGCAGGGCCACAGCTATGGTCATCAGAGATACACTTTTCGTTTTCCCAGCAGCATCTGTACTTGCTGGTGCTTTGGGGCGTGGAACTTGGGTCCCAGCAGGCCCAATCTAACTGTTGTTTTCCCAGGCCTATGACGATCCCTCCCCCTGGTCACTTGGTGCTCAGGAGGGAATATCTTATATGAGAAATGCATTATCCACTTCGGCCATGTAATAGTGGAGGGGTCCCAGGGTGCAGTACGTATGGACGCCCCCAACTGCATCCCGCCCCATCCTCAGAGTCTGTGCCACAGCTATGGCCTACAAGACCCCACGCGTGTACAGCCAGTCTGCGTCCAGCCCTCGCAAGCGCGGCCGCCTCAGCAAGCTGACGCAAGCCGGGTCGCGGGCACGCGCGCCCTCATTCATTCACTCCTTCATTCATTCTGCGGACGCCGGCCGCGAGCCCCCAGCGGTCCTCCGCCCGCGAGGTCCAGCGTGTCTGTGGAGACAGGACGCGGGGACGAAGGTCGGGCGTTGCCCGCCGACCAGCCGCAAGCGACCGGGAGGCCGCACCCGCCTTTCCCGCCCACGAGGCCCGGGCTAGGCCGCCGCCCACGTGACGCACGGCCTCCCGCAGTGAGCGCATGCGCGCGGGAGCCCGCGCTCCGAGCCGGCTCAGGAGGACCTCCCGCTCGGCGTGCGTGCGCGTTCCCGCCCGCCCGCACCACGTGACCTGCCTCGCCTCTCCCGCCTTCTGCGCTCAGACCGAGCGGCGGAGTCGGACGGGCCGTGCCGGCGTGCGCGTGCACGTGGGCCACGTGGTTGGGCGCGGCGCCGTTGCTCCGCCCCTTTAGGCTCCGCCCCCTCCGCGCGCCGGCGTCCGCTGCGTCTCCGGCATTTGAATCGCGCTTCCGCCATCTTTCCAGCTTCAGTCGGACAGGCGCGGAGAGTCTTTCGGAAGGTAGCTGTGGGGCCGGGAGGATCGGGCCCGGCGAGGGCGGCGGCGGGGGTGGGGGTTCCCTTCGGATGGGCGCGGGGCGGCGGCGGCGAGGAGAGTGAACGGGCAGCGCCCCGGGTTTTTCCGCCAGCTTCCCTCCCTCCCCCCACCGTCTCACGCCGCGTCCCCGCCTTCCCGCGCGCTCTTCCCGGCCGCGGCCTTTGTGGGGCGCACGTGCCGTAGCCGCTCTCTCCCGCAGGATCGCCGCGATGGCCGCCCAGGGAGAGCCGCAGGTCCAGTTCAAGGTGCGTGCGCGGGCGACCGGGGCCGTCGGGCGGGCGGGCGAGAGGGGAGGTCGGGAGGACGGCATGGCGGGAGGGAAGCGGGCCGCTCACGCTGCCTCCTCCTTAGCTCGTCCTGGTGGGCGACGGCGGCACCGGGAAGACGACGTTCGTGAAGCGCCACTTGACGGGCGAGTTCGAGAAGAAGTATGTAGGTAGGTGCGGCGGGGCCGCGCGGCTGCGGGCGGGGGAGTCGGCGGCCGTTCGTGGCTGACCCTGCCGCCCCGTTCCCGCAGCCACCCTGGGCGTGGAGGTGCACCCGCTCGTCTTCCATACCAACAGAGGACCCATCAAGTTCAACGTGTGGGACACAGCCGGCCAGGAGAAGTTCGGGGGCCTGCGCGATGGCTACTACATCCAAGGTGAGGGCCTGCGGAAGTGGGCCTGGCCCTCGGACATGTGCCTGGGGTGAGCCCGGGAGCCAGCCGTTGCCCGGTGACTAAGGAGGGAGCGAGATGCGGGACGGAGACGCCTCCCTTCCAGGGAGGCGACCTCGTTTGCGTGGCTAGGAGAGGGTTTATAGACGAGCCGTCCGTGGTGTCATTCGATCACATGCTGTGTCATGCTAGGCATGCTTTAGGGCAGACTGTGTGTCCTTACCGTTGAATAGGAGGCTGGGAAGCTGTGGGATCACTTTCTGGTTTCGAAACGTGTTTTAGAGTATATGTTCAGTGGTTACCCTTGAGTAGTATTCCCGCCCGGAAT